TTTTTTTCCTTTAAGTCTGACGGGCTTTACAGACCAGCCGACTCCTTGTCTGTAACTCTTCGTCGCGAATTTTACTGCACTGATGAATTATTTTTAGAAACTGAAGTAATATATATTGCTGACTAAATGTATCACATTTTGAAATGAATAAAATCTGTCGAACGCTTTTTGAAAGAAAAACTACCTAGGTTGGAGTACATCAGATTTGCCGGGTGATCATGCGTTTTCGCACCAGACTTGAAGCTTGCAGATCGTTAACTGCGCGAATGGTTGTTGTACACCTACTTTGTGCGCTCACTTGTGTAGTTTATCGTAAATTTTGCATAAAAAGAAATGGGTAATTTCTATCTAGCGTTCCTTGAAAATAACCTAATCATTCAGCGAGTAACTTTCCCCCAAAATTTTTATATGCTCCTACATGAGAACCACTGATACCTGGAGACTCAATTTGAAATGTTTAAGTTGTACTTGGACAGTAAACATTCCTCGAAATTTCACCCTTCCAGCTTTTCTGGTTACCGAGTTAGCAATTTTCTCAACAAATATTTCACGTACCCTGACATGAGAACCACGAACAAATAAAGCTGAATTTGATTAGCTCATGCATACACAAAGAATGTTCCTGCGAAGCTTCACATGTCTATCTTTTATGGCTCCCGTGATCGTTCGCTCGCCAAAGAATTTGCATATTTTTTGGAGCATTTACGAGTGCAACCCAGGCTTATGCAAATGATAATATTAAACGGGAGGGTCGCACAAGTGGTGCGTACATACTCCCAAAGTTTCAGCTTTCTAGCTTTTCTGGTTATGGTGTTGTAAGTGAGTGGCAGAAAATGCCAACACACAGACACACACCTTTTGCCAGTATACTTTTTATGCGTTTTCGCATATACGCAAATTGCAAAAACGCATATTGGGAAGAGGCTGTGTGTGTGTCTATGTTCGCACTTTTTGTCACCCACTTACAACTCGAGAACCAGAAAAGCTAGAAGGCTGAAACTTTAGGGGTATGTGCCTATAGTATGCGCGACCCTCCCGTTTTAATTTCATCCTTCGCATACTCCTGGGTCCCGCGTACGGATGCTTTAAACAAATATGCAAATTTTTTGACGAAAAAGCAAACCCGGGAACCACAAAAGCTAAGGGGCTGAAACTTTGTAGGGATATTGCCTGTGTAAGTACTAGTTAAAGGTTTCAAATTCAGCTCCCAGGTATGCGTGGTACTCACGTAAGAGCGTATGAAATTTTTAGAGGGAAAATTGCTAACTCGGGTGCTAGGAAAGCTAGAAAGCTGAAATTTTGGGAGACGGTCCCCTATCCAAGTATAACTCAAATATTTCAAATTCAGCCCCAAGCTATGCATGATACTGATGTAAGGGCATATGAAAGTTTTTGCAGGAAAATTCACTAACTCGGCAACAGTAAGAGCTGGAAGGCTGAAATTTTAGGCGGATGTTCCCTGTCCACGTGCAATTTAGAAATTTCAAACTCAGCTTTTTAGGCACGTAGAGTACCCACTTCCGGGTATGTGAAGGTTTTGGCGGGAAAACTGCCAATTCGGTAACCAGAAAAGCTGGAAAGCTGAAACTTTGGGGAATATCCCCTGTCCAAGTACAACTTAAGTATTTCGGATTCAGCTTGAAGCATGCGTGGTTCTTACGTACGGGCACTTAAAGATCTTGGCGGAAAAATTTCTCTCTAAACAATTAGGTTACTTTCAAAAAACTACTGCTAAATGGAAATTGTACATTTACGTTGCAAAATTTATGTTGGTTTATGCTAGTGCCCACAAAAGGTAGGTGTAGAGCACCAGCCATTCATGGAGTTAATAATCTGAGTACTTCAAGTCCGGTGCAAAAACATATGGTCGCACGGGCCCACCCGGTGCATTCCAGCTTGGGTTTGCTTTTGCGTATGTGCAAAAACACATATTAAGCGTGGGAAGCACTGAGCAAGCACCTGCTTTGCGCCACTGCAATGGCTGTTGTGACACTCTACTAGCTTTTGTTTACAGCATGTCATCAATCACGGCTGTGATTAGAACCAAAGATTTAGATTTATAAATAAACAAAAATAGATTAGCAAGGTTAAACACTTGATGGTCTATGCGGTCAGTTTTGTAAACCGCATTCATATGAATGACGATTAAATGAAGCTGTACGAAATTTCAGCAGTCATGGAAAAACTCAGAAAGGGATATCAGTTTGCAAGAGCGGCTGCTGAAGGGTACCAAACAGCGAAAACTATCGGCGAGGGTTACCAAGTACTCAAAAAGGTTGGAACAGCTGCTGGTGGCTACCAGGCTATAAAGAAAATTGGTGAACAGTTCATGGGACAGCAAAAAGCAGAATGATACTGAAGGGGTTTGATCAAGATATGGTTATTGTTGTACTGGCTACTGTTTCTTTATTATAAGTATTTCGTGGCACTATCTTTACTGTCAGAAAAAATACTGATATTTGATATTTACAGTGACTGTCTGGTCGGTCTTAGGGCTTTTTTTAATGTCCTGTCATTCTTTCTTTTTTTTTTTATTCTTGCCACTATTAATAGTAAAAGAGAACAAGATAAGTAAACTCAGTGCTCTTATAATTCGTTTGGATATCCGGATTTCCGGTGATACACTACGCAAAATCCCAGTACACAGTCTCAAGGAAAATGGCCTTCAGAAATGGCGAGAAATATAAACTGCAAATGTGCGCCTTTGCCAAAAAGATCGTAATTGTATGGGCACCACAATGCCATTACTATTCAGTCATAGAGTATTTTGTAATGTCAGCAGTATCACTACCCTGTTTCTGCTTGGCTGGTGACAAATCATATTCAAGGGACACCGTAGCAGGCCTACTTTTGCATGCAGGGAAAGAGCTTGATTGGAATGGTGGTGCTAAATCATGAGGCTGCGTAAACCTCAGAACGTCGTCGTCGACGCATTTTATAAGCATCAGCCAGTACATGGTTTGACGCGGCGTGGTAATCTGCAATGCAGTAATTCCATCTCCGAATCGGTAATCCTGCTGTGATAAGTCATAACTATTACGGCAAACCTTCGGTATTATTACAAAAGTATCTAGTGTTATTAACGTAGTGCAACATCTTAATATATGAGTAACAATATTTTATGTGCAAAATCATGCATTCTTGCACTATTTCGTGCTGCAGTGAGACAACTTAGAGAGTAATTGGATTTTCCGACTTACAAGTTCTTAAAGTTAAGACAGATAATTGCGCAGTCATGTGGTTTGTCAGTTGTCGATGTCGGCTTCAATGACCTGACAGAGTGAAAGTCAGTGCAAAGGATAGTTCATGAAGAACATTATTCACGCGTTTAAGCGTTGCCTTTGCCGCAGTAAAAAGGAATATCGATCAGTGATAATGCAAAATTGCATAATCGTGGGAGCATAACCGGTATTCATATGTTATGAATTGCAGGAGACCGAATCGAAAATTGTCCTGCCAGAATTTGGTAGCTGAAACCTGTTTGCTAGGAAAAGGCATTTAAGAGGATTTAGGCCATAGTATCCATCAAGTTACTCAAAGTGCGATGCACTAGGCATCTTACTGTGATCATGCGTTTTTATGTGATTCCGTTCTGTGGAGAGATAGCCTGTATTACCACAGCATTTAACTATGGTGTTGTAAGTTTGTCATTTGATGCGTCTGTACGTAGACCTCATGCCTAGGCAGAAGTTCACATTACGCTTGGTGACTCGCATATGAACAGTAAACGTACTCAGAAAAATACTGCCTTCTGCTCATTTGGATTACTGAGTTGCGTGCCAACAGTGTCCAGAACAAAACATCCACTTAAGGCACAAACAAACGTAGACGAGCTCTAAAGCTCAAATTGAAATATTGCAGTTGCACACAGACATTGAATATTCCCGTAATGTTTCAGCTCTCTAAAATATACGGTGCCAAGTCGCTTTTTTATGCAAAATTTTTAGCGTATCAGAACTCGGACACAAGAGTATGCCAAAGCTCATCTTATGCCTCCACTCCTAATTATGGCAAAAAATGTTCTCATAAAGTCGGAACATTCTGGTTAACTTGGTTCTTAAATCGACATTTTGCCAGCGACTGCAGAATCTCATCAAAGTTGAATTTAAATTCTTAAGCCCGCACAAGGACATAGAATATCTCTGTGGAGTTTCATTCTTCTGTATTATCCAGTTTTCAAGATCGTTTTTCGTCAAAAAATTTGCATATTCTTCAGTGGAGCCTGTAGTAGTAACCAAGCTTGTGTGAATGATAGTGTTAAAACGGGAAAGACCAAAATGAGCTGGACACATACTGTAGGAGTTTCAATTTTCTAGCTTTTTATGCATTTTTGTTATGCTGCGCTACAGCGCTGTTACAGCCAGCAAAACCGCATGTTTTCGAGAGGCTGCCTGTGTGTATGTGCGTATGTATGTATATATGCATATATATATGTGTGTGTGCATCGGTCCAGGTATTTCAACTCGGCGATCAGGCAAGCTCTGGCGCCAAAATTTTCTGGCGGTTTCCTTGGTTAAGTTCCACCCCAACGCCGCGATAATAACCTTCTTGCACACCTGGGTCCGCGTATGACCACGTGAAAGTTTTGGCAGGAAAATCCCTAACTCGGGGACTAGAAAAGCCAAAAGCAGAAATTTTGAGGTTGTGTTCTTCATCCACATAGAACTCGAAGGTTTCACATTCAGCCCTCAGGAGTGTGTGGTTCCCATATTCACCTCCGTGAAAACTTTTGGCGGAAAAATCGGTAACTCGGAAACCAGGAAAGCTGGGAGGCTGAAATTTTAAGGAAATCATCGCAACCCACGCAAAACTTAAATATTTCCCATTCAGCCCCTAGATTTGCATGGTTCTCACGCACGGCCCCGTGAAGGTTTCTGGCGGGAAATTGCTAACTTTAAGATCAGAAAATACATAAAACTTAAACATTAAGGGGACTTACTCTGACCAAGTACCATGTAGTTCACAATTAATTTCCTGAACTTGAGAACAGAACGCCATAAACTGTAGGTACTGGGAGTCCAAGCGGTCTTACAACAGCATGAAATACTGCAAAAACACATGATTGCACGAGCTCGTCGGTGCACGTTGCCAGTGATTTGGTTCTCGAGTTAACAAAAAGTGCGGGCATACACACACCCTCTTGCATATATGTTTTTGCATGTGCATAAATACAACCCAGGCTGGAAAGCACCGGGTGAGCTCGTGTGATCATTTGTTTTTATACCCGGCTTGAAGCATTCAGGCCATTAACTGCATGAATGGTTGTTGCTTTACACTTACCTTTTGCGGTCACTAGCATAAATCACCATA